GGGCTACGGAGAAGGCCCTTTTGGCGAAGGAGAGGCAGGTTAGTAAGGAGGCTCGATTAGCCAACCTCCAGATCCGCAGGGAGTCTAGATCCTTTAGAACCACCAAGAGAAAGTCTATACAGGTGGTTTCAAGGCGAAGTCTACAGCCTCACGTTATCCCCAGTGGTCAAGAAGATACAGAGGGGGGTCCTTCGTCTGGGCGCCCACGACGTGAGAAACGCCTCCCAAAACGCCTACAGGACTACGAATTAGATGGGAAATAAGGCTCTATCTACACAGACCTCACCACCAGCTTTTTCTACATAATTTACTTTTTTATGGGTGCGAGTAGCCTCAAAAACATATCCAAAATATCCAGTGAAATCGTGCATTGAGTGGGACCGTGCACGCCGCGTGGAAGACCTCAAACCTTTAACCTTAGACCTCAGACCTCTACCCCCTGTGGCTTTTCCAGTTCCCGCCCGTGACAATTTCCACGATATTACTTGTGCCTAACTGCCGATTTGGCTCTGCACCTCCATCCAAGTACCTATTAAATGAAGTCCCTCACACCATACAAAACAAACCAACAGACTATGGAGTACACGTACCCCTCCCCCACCCACCGTATTCAGGTTTGTTACTGATACGACGAAGCCTCCACCGGATGTCAACTCCCGAAATGGCGTGTGAGGATGAGACCACAAATGCAGGGGCCCTTGGTGCCTTGGTGCCCTAGGCTGCTAGACAGCAGAGTATGTTTATCAATGTGTGTTAACTAGTCTACCAATCACACAGCGTATCCCGTTTAGATGGGGTTCTGATTGGTTGATATAAAACGCCAGGCATCCAGGCATAAAACTACACCGCCGCCTCGCCAGTAAGGAAGGAGGGATGGGAAGGTAGCTGGCCCGTGTCCCGGCATCAATATCCTTTTGTTCTCCACAACTCTGAGGGGATGAGGGAAATCCTCCGTTCAGGTCTCGAATTTCTTTTATCACCTCCGAACCAGTGGTCTTGGGTACATATCTTGTCCCTTCGTCAGTCACTACTGCCACGTCTTTGCCGATTGACGGGCTCATGCTGCAATTGGTGCTCCATTGACCTGAATTGTGCATTCGTTATCGCGTCTTTGGTCGCTGAATAATCGGTTCCGAGAGATTCCTGGGAAGGACCTTTAGACGCAAACACCAACGATGGCAACCAACGCAACGTTTTTGCCGGTGGCGGGTGTGAAGGTGATGCCGATACGGCATACAAGCTTCTTGAGATCGATCATTGAGGGGACGAATATCGCGACGGTGTTGGTGACGCTGATTATAGGCGCTCTTGTGTATGATCAAGGTACGGGACCCCCTGCTTATGCCTAAAGGTACCTCGTACCTGGAGATCATATGCATATTCCTCTAGGTTGATGTCTTCAACAATACTAACATGTCTCCGGAACAGCGATGTATATCTACAGAAAACGTGGCATCGTGGGTCCCAACTGGAAAACCCCCTTCATCGGCCCTTTCCTCGAGTCCGTGAACCCCGATTTCGAGAAGTACTACGCCAAATGGACCAGCGGCCCGCTCAGCTGCGTCTCCGTCTTCCACAAGTTCGTCGTCATCGCCTCAACGCGCGATTATGCCCGAAAGATCTTCAACGCCCCGGCCTACGTCAAGCCCTGCGTCGTTGACATCGCATACAAGCTCCTGAGACCGCAGAACTGGGTGTTCCTGGACGGAAAGGCGCACGTCGACTACCGAAAGGGACTAAACGGTCTATTTACGCGCCAGGCACTCGAATCATACCTTCCCGGACAGGAGGAGGTGTTCGACCACTACTTCGATGCGTTCATCCAGACGAGCAAGAAGAACGGCATGAAGCCGGTCCCCTGGATGCCGGACTTCCGCGAACTGCTATGCGCGGTCTCCTGCCGCACCTTCGTGGGCCACTACATGACTGAAGCCGCCGTGAAAAAGATCGCGGACGACTTCTACCTCATCACCGCAGCGCTTGAGCTCGTCAACTTCCCCATCATCATCCCCTTCACGCGCACCTGGTACGGCAAGAAGGCCGCCGACATGGTGCTCGACGAGTTCGCCAAGTGCTCTGCGAAGAGTAAGGTGCGCATGGCGGCAGGCGGCGAGCCGAACTGCATTCTCGACCGCTGGGTGGTGCAGATGATCGCGTCAGAGAAATACCGCGAGCGGCTCGCCGCCGGGGTGGCTCCCGAGGACGCGGGGAAGCCCGACATCGTGCTGCGAGAGTTCACGGACTTCGAGATCAGCATGACGCTGTTGACATTCTTATTCGCGTCGCAGGACGCCACCAGCAGTGCGTGCACGTGGATGTTCCAGATTATGGCGGATCGGCCGGAGTTCCTGGATAAGATTCGGGAGGAACAGTTAGCAGTACGCGATGGGGACAGGAACGCGCGGATGACGTTGGATATGTTGGATAAGATGACGTACACGCGAGCGATCGTGAAGGAGACGTTGAGGTATCGACCGCCCGTGATCATGGTGCCGTACATGGTGAAGAAAGACTTCAAGCTCAGCGAAGATTATACAGTGCCGAAGGGTAAGTCATCTCTTGTTACTCTTCCCATTCCTCGCTCCACCATATTCTGTCTTTCTTCTTTTCTCCCCTCGACAACCATCAGAATCATCCTAACCTTCCCAGGCTCCATGGTCATCCCCACCACCTACATGGCCCTCCACGACCCCGAAGCCTACCCCAACCCGGAATCCTTCGACCCGGACCGCTGGATCACCGGTGACGCGGAGAAGCAGACAAAGAACTGGCTGGTCTTCGGCACGGGCCCGCACTACTGCCTCGGACAGCAGTACGCGCAGCTGAACCTGATGGCGCTGATCGGGAAGGCGAGTTTGGAGGTTGACTGGAAGCATGAGATCACGCCGCTGTCGGAGAAGATTAAGGTGTTTGCGACGATTTTCCCGCAGGTTCGTACCGTTCCTTTCCTTGCCTAGAAACAGGCAATCATCCCCATCGGTCGGTGATGGGTTCTATGGTGCTAGCAGCTAATCCGAGAACAGGATGACTGCCTTCTCACCTTCTCGAAGCGCCCATAACGGTAGCACGAGCGGAAGAACGGCAACACTTATAAAGCATCTCATTTCACAGAGAACCTGTATATAGGGGGGAACGGCGTGGACGTTGGAAAAGCCAACGACGGAGCCGCGATCGATCCAGCACCCCCAATCCAAGGCTCGATCGATGCGGCTGGACGCACCGAGTGTGGGATGTAATCATAGACCTTTTCAGCGGCGCTCGACTTTGTGGCCTGGGGGCGGTATTATAGCTTGAACTAATATTAATGGCACGGCCACTTTTCATCCAACACGTCTACTTTTTATGTTGTTGGGCTGCAATCGTCTAGTTATCTTCACTTATCCCGTCTTCTCTTCTCCCCACCGCCGCGCTCCCTCCAAACTATCTATCCTCCTACGCCCTCTCACCCCCCTTTCCCACCCAATCCACCCAACTCCCCTTATACTCCCCCACCCTCCCATACCCCGCCCTCCGCGCCATCTCCGCCGCCGCCTTACTCCTTACCCCAGCCTTACAGTAAAACACCAGCTCCTGTGTCTCCTGCGGCTTCGGCATGCCGAACCGGTCGGCGAACTCCGCGGGAGGGAGGAACAGAAAGTCCGGGGAGGAGGTGATGGGGAGATTGAGAGCGCGGGGGATGTGGCCGGAGGTGAATTCGGTGGGTTCGCGGACGTCTGGGATGGGTGGTTAGAGTGGTGGGGAGGCGGGGAGAGGGATAGTGGAGGAAGATGGGGAAGGGGGAGATAGTGTGAAGTCGTCAACCATCACTCACCGATCAGAATCCTCTCCGGATCCGGTTTGGTACTTAATTCCTTAATCTACCACACCTCCTCGTCAGCGTCCGTTCCCCTTCATCGACAGTGTCCAGGCGCGACCTACCGAGTCGAAATCATATTTCTTTGCCGTTTTCGCTTCGCTCGCGGAGTACCATCGCACCGCATGCACTGGCGCCGCGGCTTTCGTTTGCGTTCGGAGGGTGGGTGAAAGGGTGAGGAGTGGGCGGGTAGTGGTGCGGAGGGAGGGGACGGTACGGGAGAGGTGGAGGAGGGTGCGGGATGCCATTGGGAGTGCAGGTGGTGGGGGTTGGCGAGGGGGTATCGGAGAATCTGGGGTTTCGTGGAGTTGTTGGTGGGAGACGTTGGGGTTAGGAACCAGATGTTTCTCTGCTACAGTGCTGTTTGAGTCGGTATTTGCTTAGCTCGGGGAGGTTTTGGCAGTTTCTGGCGTGCCGGGATGAATATCGGACGATGTCGTCAGTTGCACCGCCACAGTTCTAGGGGTTCCTCCGTCTGGCCTCGGCGGCGCATGGAATTCCAGCTTGAGCGACATGATAAGTCTCGGAACTGTTCATGATGTGCATCTCTCCTACCAACCCCATGAAATAGCAGGTCATTCCCGCAGACCATTTCCTCGCGCTCTTCTATGGCGCGCATCCTCCTCCATAATGCCCGACCAACCCGATGACGTCCCGCCTATCGCGGCGGTGTTTCTGATCAAGTTCGATCTCAAAGTCGGGTGTGTATCGCCGTGCATCCATGGGCGCTTTGTGAACGCTGTGGGGATCCGAAGCTGACGGGTAGGATGTAGCTATACAATTGCCTGGAAACGATCGATATCCGAAGGTGAGACCGCGCCATGTCCTGCCCGCTGCGGATGCGAAACGACCGGTCCGGACTGTCCTAACTAGCGATAGTTACCGTCGATGGCGGAGTGGAGTTTAAGTCGCTGCCGTCTGGATTACACAATGTGAAGGATGATCTTGTGTATGTATCCCAGGTATCAGCAGCATAGAAGAGGCCTGACGGGAGACTAGATACTTCATCCAGGACGACTACGCCGGCATCAGCGCGTTTGTCAACCGTCCCGCCGCGGAATCAGAGCGCAATGCGCACCTCGTTGCCGTGGGCGTACTTGTACCTCTGAATAACAGTCGGCTGGGGAGAGGATGGCTACATGCTGAGAAGCTACAGGAATTGGCAAGGTATGGATTGCGTCGCCGGTACCGTTGGCGACAGCTCAACATGAGCGTGAAGCTAACGACTATTCTCCACGATAGCGCCGTCGCTGACGATACATCGAAAACCGCTCCCCTCGAAAAGTTCTGGGAGCAATGGAGATCCGATAAGGGGAAGCAGGGAGCGTCCGCATCAAAATCGCCGCCAGGACTAGATCAGCGGAAATCAGGTCATTCGAGAATTAGGGCGTTGTCCACGCTGACGATCAATGTTCCCGCGGAGCAATCATTACCCAAGTTCCATCCCTCACTCTCGATATTGAAGTGCTTGGATGTGTTCGGGCCATTGATATTTCCACTTTACCGGGCTGCATTGCTACGACCGCGGATCCTGTTGATCGGGTCCGCGCCGGTACGATTTCCTTGCGAATTCGGTGAGTTCGTACCTTCTCATACCCAGCATCTGGGTCGAATATATGAACCGGAATTGACAATCGACAGCGTACGACCTTTCCATCATCTCCGCCATCTCCTCCACCCTCCACTCCTCCCTCCCCATCGAATCCACCCCCCTCTACCGCCTAAAACCCCTCTTCAACGTCGGTGTCCACGACATCCCGTACCTCTCCCGCCCTCGCACCGGCGATGCCAACGACATCGAATCCGAGCTCGGCTGGATCGCCTGCACCACCGACGAGATCCTCGCCATGAAACCGCAGCTCTACGACCTCCTCATCGAGCTCCCCCCAATCACTGACGACAAACCCGGCTCCCACCCCGGCCGCGTCCGCAAATGGCCCAAACTCAAAACCAGCGCCGGCGCCGAAATCAAGGCCACCCGCCGCGACCTGCGCCGCTACAAAGCGCTCTACTCCGTCCTCCGCCCCCTCCTCCATCCCTCCTCGAACTCCCACCTCAACGAGGACGGCATCTCATCTACCGCCCCCATCGACCAAAGCACCACCTCCTACACCGACGACGAAGATGCCGACACCAACAACGACCACCTCCCCCTCCTCCGCCACCCGAACTACGTGACCAAGAATCCTGCCGCACAAACCCCTGCCGAAGAAGATAGCCAGCTCTTCTCCGACCTTGAGAAGCTCACCGAGCCGCGTTCGTGGACCGCGCTGGCATACTCCGGGTTCATGTGGTGGGCGGCAGCCGGGGAGCCGGACTCGAGCGAGGAGGAAGAGCAGCGCGACGCGGAGGACAGCGTGGGCGAGCTGGCGGACGTGGTGGGGCGGCTGGTGGACGAGGGAATGATCGGCGGCGGGCGCGGCGACGCGGAGAAGACGAGGGGGTTGGTGGAGACGACGATCGTGGCCAGCTTTCATCGGATGACGGCAGGGTTGGTGAGGGTGGGGGCGGAGGTGGCGGGGGTGCATGGGGAGCGGCCGGATATCGGTGTAGAGGATGGAGATGATGGTGAAGGAGAGGAGGCAGTGGAGGAGGAACTGGAGGCGGTGGATGTAGATACGGAGGATTTGAGGCGGATGGGGCTGGATGGGTGGAGCCCGGGGGATGCAGAGTTCGCGCAGCGGTTCTTGGAGCTCTATTGGGGGCGGGAGGTGCGGGTGCGGACGGCGGGGTTGGAGTGTTGTGGGGTGAAGATCTGTTGAGCGAGGATGTGTACGGTTCCTTGGCTCTTTTACGGCGTATTTTGTTGTACGGAAGAATTCAGGGGCTTCTCGATCTGGGACGGGAATATTGCTCTTGTCGGTCTATGTAGATTTCAGGTTCGGTCGGGTGCCTGGGGTCAAATGTATCATCAATCGGCGAAAAAAACCGCAGGACATGGCTCAATTGTTCTACATCGAATCAGACACCCTCCTCCCTCCTTGCAGCAAAGTCTGCTCCAATCCCCCAAAAATCCTCCCCCCGCATCCCCGCCCCCTCTTCTTCCCCCATCTGTTTTACATCAATCCCGCCCAAAGCTCTTGCCGATTCCGCCCATACACCCCATTCTCTGCCGTCCAATCCACCTCCCCGTCCGGGCGCCCTTGGCCCGCATTCACATCGCCAGACGTCGCGCGGTCACCGCCGTTCGCGTGTGCTCGCGGAAGATTTTTCGGATCCGGGTTCAGGGGGTAGCATTTCGATTTCGGGGCGGAACCAGGGGGGGCGGTCTTCGCGTGGAATTCACGGGGGCCGGGGGAGCGGCCGGGTTGGTGCTGGTGGGGGTTAGAGGTGGGGTGGTGAGGGGAAGAGGTGGAGGGGCTTACGGCTTTGGAGGAGTGGGGGGGATCGTGGTGGATGCGGGAGGAGAATTGGCCTTGGTTGGAAAGGGATTTGGTGGAGGAGGGGGTGCTAGTTGCGGTGCCGATGGCGGACATGGTGGAGGTGTTGACTTGTTGGTGAGAGACTTCTAATGTGGTGGGTGGATGAAATGGGGAGGTTTGACGGTATGGAAGCAGTTCTTTAAAGACTTAAATGAATTGAAATAGTAAAGAACACAAAACTGCAAGTGACGTTGACTGGGTCTTGTCCCTACATCATTTCTTCAGATATCAGGGTGTTTCTAGACGTGATCTTCCTAGTCATACGACACTGATGCCTAACACAGACCTGATTCATATATTGTTATCTTCATTTTGGATCCCGAACATCCGAATCGTAGACTCATATATAGAACTGAGAACATCGTGTTAGATGCTTAGATCTTGTAAGAATTTGCAAACAGTGCCAAAGGTGCTTCCAATGGCCGGTCGTGATGAGATTATATATCGTGTCGAAGATTAGATATTGCCTTAATGCCTGAGGCCCAACTTTGATTTTTGATTACGTCAGGCAACCATTCTGCGTTGGCCAGACCGACCAATCCACTCCTGTTTACATGTGAACGAGATCGGACTCCTGCTGCTAAAGTCTACTGGGTATAGGAACCCAAGGTTGACGATTTCAATATTCGATTGTTTTGGTGTATACATGTGCATGTATCCTACAAGCGATCAGTGTGCGCCCCAATGAGTCCAATGAATGTCCGATATCACGTAGATAGTCCCATATACCCATATCGACATCCAGTTCGCAACTCCAACGCATATCCCGAAACCCAATTCCCAAATACCCATCCCTCATAAACCCAAACCATTACCCTGAATTAGACGGCGCCAAATCCCCCAACTCAATTTCCCTCCTCCTCTCCTCCCGACTTTTCGCCCTCGCCACCCCCTTCCCCCCCTCCTCCCCACCCCCCTTCCTCCCCCTCCCCCGCGCCCGCCGCACGCTCCCCGGCACCGCCAACAACCGGTCATACACCTGCGTCTTCCCATCGGGACCCATCCGACTCACCCGCTCGATCCGCTCAATCTGCACCTCATCCTCTTCACCGCCGGGCCACTCGATCTGGAACGTCGAGCCCGCCGCCGTCGCGGGGGCGGTGCCGCTGTCAGATTGGGAGCGTGTCAGGAGGAGGGCGAGGTTGCGTTGGGTGGGATCAGGTTCGTCGGGATCGGCCGGAGGGGGGACAGGGGCGGCAGGGGAGGGGATGGGGGAGTGGAGGGCGGAGGGCCATTGGTTGGCGTAGTAGTTTTGGTAGTAATCGGAGGACGGGGTGGGTTGGTGGGTGGGGGAGGTGTTGCTGGTGTGGGCGGTGTTGGCGTAGCTGGAGGAGGGCTGGAAGGCCCCACCGATGCCGGGGCTGGCGCGGTAGATGTCGTCGATTTGGGTGCCGGAGATAGTGGTGCGGTGGGTGGAGAAGCGGGGTTTGTTCGAGGCGTTGCTGCGCCGTTGCGCGATCCGTCGCTGGGTGAATATTAAAAGTGCGGCGTAGATGATGGTGGATACCAGGGAGAGGACGATGGCGACAGGGGCTCCTGCGCCGGAGAAAGTGTATCGTGTAGACGAGGCGAAGGCGTAGAGAGTTGCGAGGAGTCCCAGTGCGGAAGAGGCGAAGCATGGGAGGAAGAGTGATTCGGCGCGGAAGAGGGGGGATTTGCAAGCGAAGCAGATAAGCGGTGTTAGACTGTGTCCTGCCGTGAGGAGAGCGACCACTATGACGATGAGAGCGGTTTTGGAGAATCGAAGTTTAGGGTCGACGTCGAAGGTAGTGGGAAGAATGCAGTATCTTGGACGTTGTCAGTATGGCCGACCCTCGGTTCTATAGTCAAAGTCCTCACCCTCCCATGATCATCCATGATGCTGCTAATGCAAGACCGCGCCAGTACCACTGCCATAATGTCAGAAAACTCGGAATCTGTCAGTCATGCCTTGTAATCTTACTGCAACCGGATCTCTCTCAAAGTATATATCGTCGAGTGCCATATATCCGGTGCGATGCCCGCCTGCATTGGCATCGGTCCGGGAGAAATCGAAGAGACCCATTGGATAACCATATATTCGATACAGCTGTTAGGCCGGAGAGATTCTTCCACAGCCAGGGAGGCTGCTCATCTAGGGGAAATAGGCCCGTCGTAGAGCCAGGTAGATTCGACGTCGATAGTGCGGTCGTGGGGTTGTTTCGGGGAGTGCGTTCGAGGTTTCTTCACTTTTCCAGGGCAATTCTCGCCCGGGCGTTCTATTATACCACGACCGAACTATATGTGATGTACGACCCTAGAAAACCGTCGAAGTGCGATTCGAGAGGAAGAACGAGGGTAGAACTCGATATCAACAAGTGGAGGAGCGAGTGACAGAACCAATGGATGGCAACCGGAGGCCTCCGAACGTTTCACGGCCAGACCAGCATCACCCTCAAGTCAACGGTTTGACCGATAAAAACAACGCAAGAAGTTTTCACGAGTGAAGATGGAAAAGTCTCGCAGCTGAATGATGGGTTGGGAATACGATACGACTGTCAGTGCAGCTCCCACGGACTGTTACTTCGATCCCAAGTCGTTACTTCGACCGGGGGGCTGTGTTTCGGGGCAAGGCTGCACGAGATGGCGGGGCGATGCTAACCCGGTCTTACAGATAGGCGAGATTCTGCCTTGACTCGAGCAAGAAATTGTAAGATTTTCAATGGGTAGTTTATATCAGAATAGAACTTATTGGTACGCCTGATTCTGGATGCTGAATTGCATCGAATTAGCACAGAGGAGAACGCGAGCATTTGAACGTCTCGTGGGACTTGTATGGAATATTCTGACTCGGGATTCAGGAAACGCGCTCTGACAATAGGTAATATCGCACCGTTTGAAGTTAGCCTGACGATCGTGAAACAAACAATATTAAAATGGCTTGACAAGACCAATCTTTCTTTTTGGACTGTAAAACGTAAGCCGAGTTTTCAAACGTTTTCCAGGTCGAATATTAGGAGCGAGCCGAAGTTCTCAGCTAACCAGAAGTCGTGAAAAGCAAACCGAATCATCAACGTTTTTGCTGTCCTCGACCTTCCTCTTCTCTATTATCACCCTGACCACACTACGCGCTTCCCTTCTAGACATATTCAAGGACAATCTTCATCATAACTAATTGAATGTTTACCTATAAAGCCTCTGGTACTCGGTGGTGCAAGAAACGAAGGTAATGACAAGCCTTCACAGTTAGTGTTTGTTTCCAACAGTTTCAAACAGAAGTTGAATCATGCGCGTTTTTTCTTTTGGTCTTTGCAAGTTCTCGATTTCATGCGAGACTACATCGTCCTGTCTACTCCAATGGACTCGGACGCCGTCGAACCCGATGGCCATGAAGTGTCATTGGCATTAGTCCAACGAAGCCGTATGATTTGGTCTACGTGCATTGAATCGAGCCACGATCACGATGTCGATCTGCAGCCCGCTCAGATGGAGTACCTGATCTCTGAATCCAAGGACTTGACCGACTCGTCTTGGAGATCGATATTGGGGAGACAACCTAGGACGCATTAACATGGTGGCACACCCTTACATCCCCAGCAAAGCCACTTGGGAAGGGCCTGCTAGACTATGGTACCCTCCTTCTACATGTCCCTCGCATGCAATACGAGAGAAATTGTTGCACTTCTTTCAACGCCATTTTTCGACAAATCAACTCCCCGCAACCTCATAAGCGCATGACTGGAACCGATATTCGAACTTCTAGATCCGCTGTGGAAACTGAACCAGTACACAGATTTCCTCAACGTTTTGACCCTGCGAGCCCCTGCTGTGGCATCTCTTGGTTAGGAGCTCTCTTAATTGGCCTGAAAATGCTCCTTTTGTCCACAGCACGGATAGGAACACCTATCATAGACCTCATGGCCGCGGCATGAAATATTATCTCTACTGACCCAATCCAAGAAAGAGGGCCACATACTATTCGGCGCGCGGATGAGTGCCGTCCCCTATTCTTTACGCATTGCAATGGGTATAAGCTGCTCCCATCTGTCCTTGGCGGTCGTTTGGATCGGTCCCGTTGGAGCAGGCGATACTAGCAGCTCGGGTGCATTTAGAATGTAGACATAACTTTGAATACCAGGGCTGGCTCTGGGCCTCTCTGGCCTTCTCAAGCTCATTATATGCTGGCTATCACCAAGCTCAACCTCATGGGCTGGCAGAAGATCTACTGGTTAAAACGGCAGCACAGAACATCACCAAACCTTCCTCAAGCATTTTTCAGAAACTGCGACTCGGAAAACCTTCAGGTGGTTGCATGACAATTCATGGCCGCTGACAGAAACACATATTCAGGAACATGAATGGGTATTTGCGTACGAAGATAATTCAGAGATTGATAGCACAGACGCAGATTCTTTTAATAACTTTAATTCTCAAGGGGCCATCTGAGAATTGCTCCTTCGATTAGAGCAAGGGTCAGTCAGTGACTTCATCTAACTTCCAATGGAGTAGGATACAGTGGTTGTACAATTGTACGGATGATCAGTTTACCAGCAAACTAGAAGCGCAAGGTTCCGGGGTTCCTCAAGGACAGATATTGAAGCAATCAAAGAGCATGGACTTTGGCATCTAGCACGTCGACCACTCTCACGGTTCATCTAGACTGAACTGCTTTCATTATTCTATACTAGATCGGTACTCTCCATCGGAATAACCATTCAAAGCGAGATCCGCACCCAGATATTTCCATCTCTCGGATTTCTAGGACGAACGCCAACAAACAAAACGGAGGATATGCTTCCACTAGTCTAGTTATGACCGGGGGCTGCTCCTCTGCACAATCGGAGTTAGGATTTCTCTAAGTTATGAGCTCGGAGTTTGCAGTTATCTCTATCACCGATTGAAGGACGTTCGAACAAGACTATTGGATAAAGGTCCGAAGTCCCTCTTTGCTCCGACTTAAGTTAGCTTCTTTCTGGGAAATATCGTGGCTCTTTTCAGGTCTACTAACTGATTTCTAATACACCTCTCGATCGGCCTACTCGCCGTTGCGGGTGAGCTGGCGGAGAGGCTCATCGCGAATTGTGTAAATTTTAGTTCTTCGCCTGTTGCTGGGATAGATCATTGTGCCTGCGTTTTATCGCAATCCACACCCATGAGATTACCTGTGGTCACGGCTATGGTCTCTTGCGGACCTGGGATTCCCTCTCCAAGCGGCATTATCCAATACCGGCCTTTGAGTAGACTAGAAACTAAGACACAATTGAGCCCTGGTATAAAGGAGTGCATACTCTGACCAAAGCTATGTCTCCATTGTGCTATTATTGTTGTTCTTGAGCAACTGTGAATCCGACAAAGTACCGTTGAGACCTTTAAGTGACTGATGGGACTGATCTTTCCAGTGTAATATATTCGGCAACTGATTCGCGGACCAGGCATTTGGTGTAGGTAGAATAGACAAGTCCAGGGACCACTCTATGCCATGTATTCCCATTTATATACGCACCAACTACCATTACATCGGGTGTAGCTCCTGGGATGACCACAACCTGTTCCGTTGCAGACGTTGCAAACCACCGGAGTCCAAACAGAACCAGTGCCGTCACACGTCAATCACGAACGTCTAAAGCGAGATACTGCGGCACATGTAGGACATTGGTCGTTACGTCGTCCCATAGTTCCCATCCCACGGCATATCACACACTATGGCGTGACGATGCCGTAGCCATGACAGGCGTTGCAATTTTCGGTGCTCAGCCTTCCGAGCTAGACGAGGAGTGGGTTGAGGCTTGGGAGACTAAAAAGCAGTTTAATAAAGGCTTCATTAAGGCTCTAGGGATATACATACTGGGCATAGGGGATATCAGACACGACAGCAAAAAACCCGCACCGGATGATCCAGGACGAGTATCGAGCGAAATGGAGGGAGAGATGGCAAGCCGAAGCGGCCAGACCAGGAAGGAGAGCAAGGACATGGAAGGAACCGTGGGAAACCCAGTGCCTTAACCGGTACGACGGCCTTCAGAAACACGAGACCCCGGCGCTTATGGCACTACGGACTGAGGTAGTTGGAGTTAAAGGATGGCTCGCGAAAATTGGTGTCCCTGGAATCCACCCAGCGTGTGAGTGCGGTGCCCCCCAACAGACTCTCTACCATCTCCTTGCATTTTGCCCGCAGCGGACCGACCAGAGGATCGCGCTCCTCCAACGAGCTGGAACAACGGACTTTAAGAGGATATTGCATGACAGGGACAAGGTGCGCCACGCAGCAAAGTGGCTGATCGATGCGGGAGGCCTAGAGCAATACCGGGTGGCCAAGGAAGTTGAGGAGGAGGTAATAGAGGACTGGAAACCGTTCCAGTTCCTCCACGACGTGCCAGAATAAGCTCTCCGCGTAGGCGGAAACACCGACTCTTACGGATAGATAATAAACGTTTAAGATAGTCTACTAAAGGGAGGAGGCGGGATTTTATGTACCCGCAGCCTCAGGGCTACGGGGAAACTTTTGCCCGCGGCAGACCAGATAGAATACCGTGCTCATAGACCCGAAAGGGATCCAGATAGTACGTTAAATTGATTCTTATTATAATTAGATACATCTTTACCAAAATGAATCAGATTGAGCTCGCTCTTGCTGCGTTGGAGTTGGAGGAGAAACCTAATTATACTAAGAATGCAAAAGAGTATGGAATCGACCGTACAACGTTATCTAGGAGACATCGCCAAAAAACCACCTCTAGGCAAGATGCGGACTTGAACAGAGGAAAACTCCATGGATTCCAGGAGAAGAAACTTGTTTCGTATATCAACGACCTCTGTAGGCGTGGTTTTCCGCCTACTACTACAATGGTACAGAACTTTGCCTGCGATATTGCGAAACAAGACATAGGCAAGAACTGGGTCTCTAGATTCGTGGAGCGGCATGAGACGATGCTCGACGGGAGATATCTCAACGTTATCGAGTCCTCCAGGACCCGGGCGGATAAGGAGCAAGACTATCGTGATTTCTACGCCTTATTAGCCCAAAAGATTACGGAATACGACATTGATCGGGAGAATATGTACAATATGGATGAAAAGGGCTTCCTTATGGGGATCATGACCAAGATGAGACGGATCGTCTCAAAGGCGGTTTTATCGCAAAATAAGAGCCTAGCGCCACGACGGATGGTAATCGTGAGTGGATTACCATTCTTGCATGTATCTGTGCGGATAGTTCCTGGTTACCGCCCGGTCTAATTTACCAGGCGGTTTCCGGTAATCTCCAGGACTCTTGGCTCCAGGATTTCGACACGGAGAACCACCAGGCCTTTTTTGCCTCATCTCCATCGGGATGGACGAACGATGAGCTAGGATTCCATTGGTTGACTATCGTTTTTGAGCGGTATACGAAGCCGAAGGCGAGACGGAGATATCGTCTCTTGGTTATCGATGGGCACGGTAGCCATATCAATATGAGATTCCTGGATTGGTGCCACGAAAACCGTATTTTGGTATGCTGCTACCCTCCGCGTACCACTCATCGCCTACAACCGCTCGACGTTAGCCTGTTCTCACCTCTTGCGACCTATTATGGGCAGGATCTCAATACCTTCATATCTGAGTGCCAGGGACTCTATTCTATCACGAAACGAGGGTTTTTTCGCTTATTTTGGGCGGCATGGCATAAAGCTTTCACTCCTGCCCATATTCGAAGTGGTGGGGAAAAAACAGGACTGGATCCACTAGATCAGTCCGTGGTCCTACATGTTATCGGGATTAGGGAAACAACCTCTCGACCGGGCTCAAATGCATCATCGGCAGATTCTCACCTCTCGTCAACGGACTGGAGACAAGTAAAACGGATTATCCGTGATGCTGTAGGTAATGCGGTTACTTCGGAGTCGAAAAAGCTTCTCAGCTCGGTCGCACAGCTTTCAACCGATATTACCCTCTTACGAGCGTAAAACCAGGGCCTGCGAAAGGCTATCATCAACGAGAAAAAGAAACGTAAGAGGGCGAAGCCGTTATTTGAAGAGTTATGTGCTGAAACTGGTATAAAGGCACAGTTTTTCAGTCCCTCCAAGATCCAGAGAGCTCGCGAACTTCAAACACAGAGAGAAGAGGAAAAGGTCGATCAAGAGGCACAAAGACAACAGGATAAGGTAGAGAGAGCACAACGCAAGATAGAGAAGGAAAAAAAGATGATAGAAAACCGCCTCCAACGAGATGAGGCACGTACAAGGAGGGCTACGGAGAAGGCCCTTTTGGCGAAGGAGAGGCAGGTTAGTAAGGAGGCTCGATTAGCCAACCTCCAGATCCGCAGGGAGTCTAGATCCTTTAGAACCACCAAGAGAAAGTCTATACAGGTGGTTTCAAGGCGAAGTCTACAGCCTCACGTTATCC